ATGGGCGCGGTAGGAATGCTATCTAAGATTACCTAGAAAAAAATATTTTCTATTTCTTAAACAATTTCAGAATAGTACTAAATTGGAATATACTAAAAGCTGAACAACTATAAACCTGGCTGAGAAAGGGAAAGAGATAGATAGAGAAAGAGAAAGAGAATGCTACGGATATCATGGACCGAGCATGTGAGCAACGATGAGGTCTTAGAGAGGTCACAAGAAAGTAGAAGGCTTATACTTAATATCAAAAAGAGGCAGCTGAAGTTTCTGGGACACATAATGAGGAAGGGCGTCCTGGAGAATATTCACTGGTCAAATAGGGGGTGAGAAATGGAAAAGCAATATGTGACATACCTGACGAGCCTAAACAAGTGGATGACAGAACGTGGTCTGGGGGAGGAAACAGAGAGAAGGAACTTGCTGAAAGCTGAAAAGGATAGAGAGAGGTGGAGAGCCATGATCGTCTATGACCTGATAGGACATGGCACATAAGAAGAAAGAAAGAAGTAAAAATTCTTCCGCGCTGTCAACTAACAGGAAATATCGCTCAACATTTAGTTATTTTTTTTAAAAGAAATTTTCAGTAATTTGAAAGCGTATTTTATTTTATATTTTGGACTATATTTGTTGCTTCATCAAAGATTTGGGTCTGCATAGAAGTAAAGTGATATCTCTATTTGGGAAATATTAGTAAAACGCAAAGGCAGCCTATAAAAAGAACATTTCGTGAAGATGTCATTTTGAATTATGAAGACACATTTCAAAATAAAATACAGTTGCTTAGTTGTTTAGATCATTCTCTGTTTGGCTTGTAACTGATATACGCACGTTGGCATGTCTTGAGGCTGTTGCATTTTCTGTTTGTGATTTTGTAGTAAGAAATATCTATTTCTGTTTGTGATTTTGTAGTGAGAAATATCTATCTATCTATCTATCTATCTATCTATCTATCTATCTATCTCAGTATAGTAATAGATAGATAGATAGATAGATAGATAGATAGATAGATAGATAGATAGATACGAGCAGACTGACATCATGTGGTGATATGTTTAAAAATCTATTTCAGTCTGAACTGAACTATCTATTTATCTATCTATCAGCTACTCTCCCTACTCATCTCAGATTGTTCATATCTATCTATCTATCTATCTATCTATCTATCTATCTATCTATCTATCTATCTCAGTATAGTAGTATATTGATAGATAAGTAGATACGAAAAGACTGACATAGATAGATAGATAGATAGATAGATAGAAGCAGACTGAGATAGATAGATAGATAGATAGATAGATAGATAGATACGAGCAGACTGACATTATGTGGTGATATTTTTAAAATCTGTTCCAGTAACAATCTATCTATCTATCTATCTATCTATCTATCTATCTATCTATCTATCATCTATTCTCCGTACCTCTCTCAGATTGTTCATATCTATCTATCTATCTATCTATCTATCTATCTATCTATCTATCTCATCTATCTATCTATAGTAATAGATAGATAGATAGATAGATAGATAGATAGATAGATAGATAGATAGAAGCAGACTGAGATAGAGAGATAGATAGATACGAGCAGACTGACATTATGTGGTGATATTTTTAAAAATCTGTTCCAGTCTGGATCTATCTATATATCTATCTATCTATCAGCTACTCTCCCTACCTCTCTCAGATTGTTCATATCTATCTATCTATCTATCTATCTATCTATCTATCTATCTATCTATCTATCTATCTATCTCAGTTTCTATGTATCTATCTATCGATCAATACGGGAGATTCGTTTCGAAACTAATGCCACCCATTTAATGATATTGCCTCTCGATATGTTATGTCTGATGTCGGTGGTATACGGTAATCTGTAATTTAAGTTTAACATTGTTACCCATGGCCGTCTGGCAAAATAGTGTGATATTAAAGTGCCTACGAAAAATAAAAGTGTCTCACTGAAATTAATCCGGTGAAAAACTTTTCCCCAATGAAATCCACCGATGCTTGTTGTAGTGGTTGGAGTAAAAGAGACAAGCAGCAATGTGATTTTTTCAGTCTTCACGAAATATTTCTCAATTATGAAATTGTATTAATGACATGTGTATTAGAGAAGTTTTGTAGAGTAGCTGCACACCCTCACAAGATGGACTACTCTAACACCATTTAAATATTATTTAATGAGGGAGAACAGTTAACGATTAGATTTTGTCAAAGACCTCTAGACAACCTGCCTGCTTCCGGGCAGAGAGAACCCCAGATGAGGCTATGCCTACAAGCAGATTCTGGGGAGGTAGACAGCTGCCCGACCCCGTGTATTAAAGCTCTATGGGGAACTTTTGCCCGTGAATCCCCACTATAAGAAACCCTCGTTAAAAAACGACCTTTTGCCACAGCCCGCTTTATGGGGATGCCTTGGGTAAATACCGAGCAGCTCCAGATTAATCGTTACTGTCAGCCTCTTTGCCTTCGGGCGGAGAGGAATCACGTCTGAGGAGGTAGACAGCTACCCAACCCCATGTATGCAGGTCTATGGGTAATTTTTGCCCGAGCGTACGCGCTCGGAAAGCCCCACGTTAAAAACTGAACTTGTGCCACATGCCACCTTGGGTGCATACCGAGAAGTTAACTCTTAGAGCGTGTCGATCATTTTGCATCCGGGGGAGAGGAACCTAAAGGGGGCTCTGCCTACGGGCAGAGTCTCGTCTGGTAAAGTAGACAGCAAACCGATCCCGTGTATGCGGGATCTACGTGTAATTTTTGCCCGATCGTACACGTTTGGAAAGCCCTACATTAAAGCCCGGCCTTGTACCACATCCCGCTTTGTGAGGAGGTCTCGGGTAAATACTGAGGAGTTCACGATTAATCGTTACACTGCTTGTCGACTCTCAGCCTTCGGACAGAGAGGAACTCAAACGTGGCTATGCCTACGGGCACAGTCTCGTCTGGGGAGGTAAAGAGTCACCTAGGTGTATGCGTGGTTTATGGGTAATTTTTGACCGATCGTACGCACTTGGCCTGCTTTGCGGGCTCTTGCGTAAATACTGAAAGGTTAATGATTAATTGTTTATTAGGTTTGTCTGTGATGTCAACCGTGTACATTATTATACTCCTGAATAAACAACTTTTTTTCTATATGTATATCAAAGTTTCCTATTTACGACACAACCAGAAGATTACAACAAAACATTTCTTTTTTTTTAATAATTATTTTAATCCAAATAAGGTGATGATGGCACTAAGACGCAAAGGATTACTGAGAGTGGAAGGGAATGTAAAGACTTTAGTGGGGTGAAAGAACTGGATTCAAGAAGACAGAAAATGACATGCATTTAATTCTTTGAAGATTGTAGGCGACATGAAAGCAAATAATGGGAATCTTGAGAGGTGCGTGAAAATAAACTCTTAGAACAAGCTTACTACTATATCTCGCTAATTCAACAATAACATGAAAATAAATTGCAAACAATTTAATAGGACGCTTAAGTTCGTGAGGTCGCGATAGTAAGGAGGAAAGCTGATTAGAACAACTGTCATCAAAAAATATTTATGGAAAAGACAGAGGGAAGCCACATTTACGGCGGTTCGAAAAGTGACCTGAAATCGTGATGCCGCGTCAGGACAGATAACATAACAGATTCCTCTTTGGATTTTGTCGAGAATCTCGAGATATACAACAGGAAAAGCAGGCCAGATAAAGTGGCAATATTTAATGCACGGACGTATGGCAAATTTATAAACCCTCAAGATATATTTTGACGAGAAAAATTGTCTGTCATGACACAGTGAACCAGTGGTCTAGGCGGCAAACCTAGCAAATTAATAATCATTCAATATCATTATAAAACATGAGACCAATACTGTGCAATAAGTACTCTTTTGGAAGTTAGCATCAGCCATGCTGATGAGGATCAAAATAATTCACCATGATGTTTAAAGAGAGCAGATTTGCATTGGAAGCGTTAAAATTTACTAACATTTCTTGTCCTAGTATACAACATTCGAGGTACTTTTCGAGTTCAGCTGCCAGCTGTTCGGTGTGGAGACCTATCAAATCTTAAAACAGTTAAATAACCTTAACTTATTAAACAAGAGATATGAATTGATTCCCACATGTAGACCTAAAAATAAATACCTGTTAAAATACGTTGATCCTGATTAATTTCTACTATAGTTTATAACTTTTCCTTTTTATTTTCTTCCGTTTACTTAAGTCGAGCAGATACAAGTTTTTGTTTTTTTAGTTTTAGATCCTTTTATTTTCATATCATTTAAAAAAAAAAAATAACATGCGTTTTTTAAATATAAATTAAACCATTAATCAAAGTTTAATTTAAATATAGAATATAAATCCCACCTACTTTAAATATATTTTTCATATACAGGGACGTTTATTTTAATACATTTTTTAAACCATTAATCCTCGTTCATATTTAATATAAATTAATATCATTTATCCCTGTTTATTTTAAATGTAAAATATAAATTCTGTCTATTTGAAAGACAATTTTTGAACCAGTAATTCCCGTATAATATATGGACTGCGCCAACATTGCGTTAAACAAATATTTTTCTTAAACCTTAAATTATGTTACGGTCAGTGGCTACTCAACACCTGAAGATTGCGTTGTGCATGAAACTCCGAGTATTGCCACTGTTGACGAAAAGTGCATATTTATTAATATATACTTAATGGCTCTGTTATATTACATGGAACGATATTTTATTAAGAGTAGCACTCAATGTGCGATATCTTATATTTGAACACACACACACACACACACACATATATATATATGCTGTATATATATGCTGCATGTATGTATGTATATATATATATATATATATATATATATATGTATATAAATAAAAAGAAAGAACAGTAAGATATAAAATCCGGTGTTCTTATAGATATTTTATTTTTACAAAATAGTGCTCAATGTAAATTTACAGAGCATTAATATTATAAATTAATTGATTTAAAATATATGGTTATTTTCG